CGATAGACTATGGATAAGAAAGGTTACTATAGTCTTTAAGTGAATCAAATCCGGGCGTCCCGACAGGGTGCTATTTGGCGCCCCGGGCCTTCCCATGTACGCTATGGTACCTACGTTCGCGTAAGTGAGTTCAAAAGACTATGAATAAGTTGGGTACTATAGTCGTTTACAGAGTTGAATCAGGCGGTTACGCCGCACGTCGTCATGGTGCGATTTGGCGCCCCGGGCTAGACTGTGGACACTTTGAGTTTATCTTTCCGTTTGTTTTCTTTGTGTTTGAGTTTGGGTTTGCGTTTGTGGTTGTGTTTGCGATTGGATTTGGGTTTGTTTTCGTTTGCTTTTTACTTTCTCGTATATACGAAGTATAGAGAAAGTATTGTAATCGTGCACAAAAATAACATGAAATTTTGACAGTTTTCACCGTTTTACTCCTCAGTCCTTCATCACATCCGGAGTATAGAGGACTTATTCTAATCAGGCAAAAATTATAAATACAAATATATAAACGTTTTGGCTTTTTATGCGTTATCGAGTCGTAAAAACTGGACTTTGCAATTCTGTCCGTGTGTCTGTGTGTCTGTCTTTGTGTAAACACGATAACTTAAGTACCGTTACAGCTAAGTTGTTTAAATTTTATATATAAGTATTTTATCAAAATCGTAGATCCTGATCAACTTTTGAGCGATTTCCGATAACCGGAAGTGGTACTTTTTCTACTTAGAATTTTTCAAAAGCCTATAAGTTGCGTACTATTTCAGATAGATGCGTGAAATTTCACACGTAAGTAAAATATCTAATTATCTACCTTCTGTCAAATTTTGAGTAATTTCCGCTGACCTCAAAAAAGCATGTAAATTTATAAAGTACTAATAATATCCCGCACTTTTATAAACATTTTATTAGGCGTGCACCTGGTGTGGGACGGAGTGGTCTAGCGGTAGAGAGCTGGACTGCTAACCCGTTAGTCTCGAGTTCGAATCCGAGTTCAAGTCAGGTTAGAAAGGGAGACTTTTCACTTGAATTGCAATTCTTTTTTTTTTACAAGATTCTATTCTATTATAAAAAGTTTAAGTAATTAAAAATGGATAACAAATATTGTCTATGTCCTGAGTTGCCATCCCTCGTAATTTTATATTAGAATATTCGAGAAAGTTTAGGGGAGATCACTCCCGGTTTATTTTCTTTGCGTTTGTGTTTTCTTTGTGTTTGTGATTGTGTTTGCGTTTGTTTTTGTGTTTCGTTTGTGTTTGAATTTGCGTTTGTGTTATGTTTGCGTTGTTGTTTTTTTTGTGTGTGTTTTGGTTTTGTTCGGTTGTGGTTGGGTTTGTGTTTGCGTTTGGATTTGTTTTCGTTTGCTTTTTTGTTTGCGTTAGTGTTTGTGTTTTCTTTGTGTTTGTATTTGTGTTTGAGTTTAAGTTATGTTTACGCTTTTTGTGTTTTGGTTGTTTGTGGTTAGGGTGGGCAATGCCGGGTATATGCTGATTACTAAACACACAAGACATGGTCCTTTGCAGATAGTTTTTCACTGTTGCCAGTGCAGGGCCTGGCCGGGACGGCTAGTACTTTATACATTCAAATGCTTTTTTTGAGAAATCGGAAATAGCGTAAATTACTACTTCAGGTCAACAGAAATTACTAAAACTTCTTTCTTCCGCCATCTTTAGTGACTCTCCCAGTGTCAACCTCCTCAATCGTAAGGAGGGTAAACTTCTCTTTTCTATAAACTGTCTCGTCTGTAATTCACAAGATGGTTGGTGGGTTAAAGTAAGCATTTTCAATTAGAATTGATTGATGTTTAATAATAAAAGAAGATTGGTATCTCCTAATCGATAATGTTTAAAAGCTTTTAATTTATGTGCAAAACATGTGGTCTTTGATTTTAAAAGTTTTTAATTATAAAATTTAAAAACGTTGGGCATTAGCTGGCGTAGTGAGTTAAGAATGGATGTTCATTAGGTGATAATTATGAAATGTAAAATCGCACCAGGAATTTAATTTGAAAATAATAATAATTATATTGTAATTAATCTTCACTATGACGTTGAGACGGTACATTATTTTAAAATCAGCAATAATTTTTTCAAATGTTTGCGTCAAAATATGTGTTTAGTTAGTGAATGTAAATAGAAAGATTTATTTGAAAATAAACTTACATATCCCCATTTTAAAGCAATTTGCTAAGTAGGCTTACAAAAATAAAAACAGTACTAATTTTCTCAAAGTGGTATATAGACGAATGAACGAATCTCTATGTAATGTAAATTTTTTGTATATATTTCAGCGTGTACAAACTGGTTGTCGCAAATGTACCAGAAATTTTGGTAATCAACTGTACCATATGCTATTACTATGTGGACAATATGTTTTAGTTGTAGTTGTTGTTCTTTGCTTGTTTTTTTTTTAATTTAGTTTTCGTGAATTTTCCCGACATACATAACCTTATTAAGACTTACTTAAGTTAATCTCGAAGTATTTTTCTTATCGGTAAATTACCTAGGTAATTACTCTGGGGTAAGCTCCTTACAAAACTAATGTGTAAGCCATGCCTTCTTGTGTCCCTGTTTATGGTGAACTGGTGCTCCTTTAACCCAGGCAGGTCATAGTGTATTTTACAGCAAAAATTAAGCCAGATTTGCTGTAAATACGTGCATTCGGACAGCTTATTATCCTCAGATGTGCAGTAAATACGTGCATTCGAACATATATATATATATATATATATATATATATATATATATATATATATATATATATATATATATATATATTTATATATATATATATATACATATATATATATATATATATATATATATATATATATATATATATACATACATATATATATATATATATATATATATATATATATATATATATATATATATATATATATATATATATATATATATATATATATATGTATATATATATATATATATATATATATATATATATATATATATATATATATATATATATATATATATATATATACATACATATATATATATATATATATATATATATATATATATATATATATATATATATATATATATATATATATATATATTTTTATATATATATATATATATATATATATATATATATATATATATATATATATATATATATATATATATATATATATATATATATATATATATATGTATATATATAAAGCCCTCTTCAACCATTTGCATTCTACCCTATGTATAAAGGAAACATAAACATATGGACATGGTTCTATCACATTATCAGTATTCGATAAAAAAAACTTAAACTGTTTCTAAAACAGCGCTTTAGACTTATAAAGGTAGATTGATTTTTTCCTGCTAGAGCGGACGGCAAAAAACGTTTTGAATTCCTTTTTGAACTCAGAGCCACTTTGAAGTCAAGTTCCGCAAATTTCCATCACACGAGCCACACTTCCCTTCCATTATGATTTGCGGAACCTAGCATGCGTCACATGCATGGCCTGGAGTATTTTTCCTCTTCAATCGATGTTATTTATGCGCTTAAAAATCAATCGATTTATGGATATTTGTCACCGTGAACTTAAACATACTTTCAGTCATAGTTTCTAGGTTTTTAACTTGACATATGGAAGATATTTTCTATGCTCAAAAAAGGGTTTGAATGTATTTCTCGACATTTAAAACTCTATGTTACTGATGTTTAAAATTATACATGACAAAAAAAAAGCTTGATGTATGTTATGGGTTGTAAACAATACTGGTTGCTATTTTGAACAGCTCGATTAGTAATCGTAGACTATTTAAAAGGATGTGGGAGTAATCATTGAAAAATGTTGTTTTTTTTTTTTCATTACCTACACACCACCCCCTTACTTTCAAAAACATAATGGCCTAATAATATCCAGTCTTCGTTATCAAAAATTGACTTTGACAAGTCCACGGTAGCTGGTATAAGTAATGTTAAGATTAGAAATAAATCAGAAAATTGATATTGTCTAAAGTAATGCGGTTAAATTTAGAATCGTAGTAAAGATAGATCAAGTGTTGCTTTTTATTTTTTATTTCGACGAAGCTGAGAATTATTATTGAAGCAGTGCAGTATAGAAAAGTTTAATGTATTATTGCTTACACTCCTATACCATTGATTCTGGACCTTGTATAGATCCTAAACCTAACACCTAAGAGCAATGTGGCCCGTAAAAAATTCAATAAAATAAACCGGGAGTGATCTCCCCTAAACTTTCTCGAATATTCTTATATAAAACAACAGGGGATGGGAACTCGGGATATAGTTATGATTTTTAATCCATTTTAAATACATAAACTTTTTAAAATAAAATAGAATCTCATAGAAAAAAGTATTGCACACCAAGCGAACGCCGAATAAAGATGTTCATAATGGTGCGAAATATTATTAGTACTTTATAAATTTAGATGCGTTTTTGAGAAATCGGAAATAGCGTAAATTAGTACTTTCCGTCAACGGAAATTACTCAAAATATAACAGAAGGTAGAGAATTAGATCTTTTACTTACATGTGAAATTTCATTTAACTATCTGAAATAGTACTCAAGTTATAGGATTTTTTAAAATTCAAAGTAGAAAAAGTACCACTTCCGGTTATCGGAAATCGCTCAAAAGTTGATACGGATCTAAGATTTTGATAAAATACTTATATATGAAATTTCATCAACCTAGCTGTAACGGTACTCAAGTAATCGTGTTTACACACACACACACACACACAGACACACACACATACACACAGACATACGGACAAGATTGCAAAATTATGTTTTTCCGTATCAGTGAGGTGTAAAACGTCGAGATTTGCAAAAATCTCGATGTTTGTTTTTTTTTGCACGATTACAATACTTTCTCTATACTACGTATATACGAGAAAGTAAAAAAACTATATTGTTTTACGGCATTTTAACAATCCATTTTTTTCTTTCACAAAACAGCAATAAAGTCTCTTTATTTTTCTTAAAATTACGTTAACAAATTCTGAGCACATAAACGTGTGACGTTTTCATCAAACATGGCTTCCTCTGAATTTTTGTTATATGTTTGTGTAAGTGGTTAACTAAGTTGGAGCAAATGCCTTCGACGACTGACCAAACCGTTGCTGGACGACACACGGACCCGATGTTTGCTGGACGGTGAATTGGCCAGCATGAACTGTTGCAGCAAGAAAAAGATGATAAATAACAACGTCTCTAACAGGTCGACGCCTATCTCAGTACGTCTCACTATTGATTCACTTACTTCAGTCCGTCTTACTCTTTGTTTACTTACTTCAGTCAGTCTTACTCTTAATTTACTTACTTCAGTCAGTCTCACTCAGTTTACTTACTTCAGTCCGTCTTACTCTTTGTTTACTTACTTCAGTCCGTCTTACTCTTTGTTTACTTACTTCAGTCAGTCTCACTCTTAGTTTACTTACTTCAGTCAGTCTCACTCTTAGTTTACTTACTTCAGTCCGTCTCACTCTTACTTTACTTACTTCAGTCAGTCTCACTCTTAGTTTACGTACTTCAGTCGGTCTTACTCTTAGTTTACTTAATTAAGTCAGTCTCTCTTAGTTTACTTACTTAAGTCCCTCTCACTTTTAGTTTACTTACTTCAGTCAGTCTCTCTTAGTTTACTTACTTCAGTCCCTCTCACTTTTAGTTTACTTACTTCAGTCCGTCTCTCTTAGTTTACTTACTTCAGTCTGTCTCTCTTAGTTTACTTACTTCAGTCAGCCTCTCTTAGTTTACTTACTTAAGTCCCTCTCCTTTTAGTTTACTTACTTCAGTCAGTCTCATTCTTTTGATTTAACTTACTTACGTTAGTCTCACTACTGATTCGGTACACTAAAACGTGTGACTCTTGGTTCGCCTACGTCTTTAAGTCTCACAATAGGTCTCACTATTAACTCACTTACTTCTGTTTCACTACTGGTTCAGTACTCTAGAAAGTGTGGCTATTGGTTCATTTTCGTCTTAAAGTATCATAATTGATCTCGCTATTAGTTCAGTTACTTCGTCTGGTCTCACTGTTGGCTTATGTATTGATATGTATACACTGCAAGCTGGAGCATGACCCATAGTGAGACCTGAACACGACACCACTTCACCAATAAATAAAAAATACTGAACTTTCCATTTCGCTATTTCGATAACATAGAACCCCTTTCACTTTCTTCTTTGAACTAGGAATGCATAAATTGGTATTAAGAAATCTTTTTTTTTTTATTGAATCACCATTACGATAACTCATCTATTCATCCCTTCTCTCACATCCCCCCCCACCCCCACCCCCACCTTCAGCAAACCACGGTGAACCAGGAGTACTTTGATTTCGTCGAGGCCTGCGGCAACATCGCGGACGAGTCGACGAAGAACACCAACGCCATCGGCCTGCGGAAGCTCCACGCCAACGTCAACCGGTTCTCGGTCTTTGAGGAGGCGCCGCCGTTCATGGAGAAGTATTTCAATGTCGTGGAGGAGACGTACCAGGCCCTGCAAACCAGCAACACGGTATGTGAGGGGGGGGGGAGGTGGAGGGGGGGGGGTCAGAGGAGACGTACCAGGTCCTGTAGACAAGCAACACGGTATGTGGGGGGAGGTGGAGGTGGAGGTGGGGTCAAAGGAGACGTACCTCGTCCTGTAGACAAGCAACACGGTATGTGGGGGGGGTGGAGGTGGGGTCAAAGGAGACATACCAGGTCCTGTAGACAAGCAACACGGTATGTGGGGGGGGGGGAAGTGGAGGTGGGGTTAAAGGAGACATACCAGGTCCTGTAGACAAGCAACACGGTATGTGGGGGGGGGGGTGGAGGTGGGGTCAAAGGAGACATACCAGGTCCTGTAGACAAGCAACACGGTATGTGGGGGGGGGGGGGGGGAAGTGGAGGTGGGGTCATAGGAGACATACCAGGTCATGTAGACAAGCAACACGGTATGTGGGGAGGTGGAGGTGGAGGTGGGGTCAAAGGAGACGTACCTCGTCCTGTAGACAAGCAACACGGTATGTGGGGGGGGGGGTGGAGGTGGGGTCAAAGGAGACATACCAGGTCCTGTAGACAAGCAACACGGTATGTGGGGGGGGGGGAAGTGGAGGTGGGGTTAAAGGAGACATACCAGGTCCTGTAGACAAGCAACACGGTATGTGGGGGGGGGGGGGGTGGAGGTGGGGTCAAAGGAGACATACCAGGTCCTGTAGACAAGCAACACGGTATGTGGGGGGGGGGAAGTGGAGGTGGGGTCAAAGGAGACATACCAGGTCATGTAGACAAGCAACACGGTATGTGGGGAGGTGGAGGTGGAGGTGGGGTCAAAGGAGACGTACCTCGTCCTGTAGACAAGCAACACGGTAGGTGGGTGGGGGGGTGGAGGTGGGGTCAAAGGAGACATACCAGGTCCTGTAGACAAGCAACACGGTATGTGGGGGGGTGGAGGTGGGGTTAAAGGAGACATACCAGGTCCTGTAGACAAGCAACACGGTATGTGGGGGGGGGGGGAAGTGGAGGTGGGGTCAAAGGAGACATACCAGGTCCTGTAGACAAGCAACACGGTATGTGGGGGGGGGGGGGAAGTGGAGGTGGGGTCAAAGGAGACATACCAGGTCCTGTAGACAAGCAACACGGTATGGGGGAGGGGGGAGGTGGAGGTGGGGTTAAAGGAGACATACCAGGTCCTGTAGACAAGCAACACGGTATGGGGGGAGGTGGAGGTGGGGTCAGAGGAGACATACCTGGTCATGTAGACCAGCAACACGGTATGGGGGAGGGATGGAGGGGATGTTGGAGGATACCTGTCCCTCAGACCAGGGGGAGGGGGTAGAGGTGGGGGTCAAAGGAGACATACCTGGCCCTGTAGACCAGCAACACGGTTGGGGGGGGGGGGGTTGCTTGTTATAACGTGGCATTTGCTGGGGTGGAATCGGTCGCTGTTTATTAACAACCTGTCTCCTGTAGTTTTTCTTAAATATTTATTTTTTGTGTGTATCAAATTTGATAAAATCTGTTCCTGTAGTTTCTCTAATATATTTATTTCTTGTGTGTATCATAATTTGATAAAATCTGTTTCCTGTAGTTTCTCTAATATATTTATTTCTTGTGTGTATCATACTTTGATAAAATCTGTTTCCTGTCGTTTCTCTAATATATTTATTTCTTGTGTGTATCATACTTTGATAAAAATCTGTCTCAAATTCAGGTCGGTATTTGGAAGACTTATGTAAGTAGCCACAATAACTTTTCATAGTTTTTTTTTTTTTTTAAGTTTTCTTGTTTTAAACTTTTTTTTATTTTGGACCGCTAATAGCATTAAATATTGTATGTATTAACACAAACAAATAGGCTTTATATCATACTACAAAATATATTATGTAAAATATGCTATCGATCAATGCAATACATATATTTTGCCGCCTAGTTCAAATCTAGTGCTAACGCAGATCTACACTAAAGCCGTCAATGATTGCAGAAAGCATGCGCTCATAAACTTATCATTATATATCCGTTTAGTAAGATTTCAAAATGCTGCAACAATCGTCCCACTACCAGTGTCAATTTGTTAGTTCCTAACTCATATGTTTGTGTATTTTGTCCTGTCCTAACTCATATGTTTGTGTATTTTGTCCTGTCCTAACTCATATGTTTGTGTATCTTGTCCTGTCCTAACTCATATGTTTATGTATTTTGTCCTGTCCTAACTCATATGTTTGTGTATTTTGTCCTGTCCTAACTCATATGTTTGTGTATCTTGTCCTGTCCTAACTCATATGTTTGTGTATCTTGTCCTGTCCTAACTCATATGTTTGTGTATCTTGTCCTGTCCTAACTCATATGTTTGTGTATCTTGTCCTGTCCTAACTCATATGTTTGTGTATCTTGTCCTGTCCTAACTCATATGTTTGTGTATCTTGTCCTGTCCTAACTCATATGTTTGTGTATCTTGTCCTGTCCTAACTCATATGTTTGTGTATCTTGTCCTGTAGTGTCCGGCTGACTTCCAAATGGTCAAGATCAACATTGCAAGAGGTAGCACTTGTAAGGTCAGTTGGTCATTTGCACTGTACGGTTAGAAGGTCCTTAGTTCATTTAAGGTCAGTTGGTCATTTGCACTGTACGGTTAGAAGGTCCTTAGTTCATTAAAGGTCAGTTGGTCATTTGCACTGTACGGTTAGAAGGTCCTTAGTTCATTTAAGGTCAGTTGGTCATTTGCACTGTTCGGTTAGAAGGTCCTTAGTTCATTAAAGGTCAGTTGGTCATTTGCACTGTTCGATTAGAAGGTCCTTAGTTCATTTAAGGTCAGTTGGTCATTTGCACTGTACGGTTAGAAGGTCCTTAGTTCATTTAAGGTCAGTTGGTCATTTGCAATGTTCGGTTAGAAGGTCCTTAGTTCATTTAAGGTCAGTTGGTCATTTGCACTGTACGGTTAGAAGGTCCTTAGTTCATTTAAGGTCAGTTGGTCATTTGCACTGTTCGGTTAGAAGGTCCTTAGTTCATTTAAGGTCAGTTGGTCATTTGCACTGTTCGGTTAGAAGGTCCTTAGTTCATTTAAGGTCAGTTGGTCATTTGCACTGTACGGTTAGAAGGTCCTTAGTTCATTTAAGGTCAGTTGGTCATTTGCACTGTACGGTTAGAAGGTCCTTATTTCATTTAAGGTCAGTTGGTCATTTGCACTGTTCGGTTAGAAGGTCCTTAGTTCATTTAAGGTCAGTTGGTCATTTGCACTGTTCGGTTAGAAGGTCCTTAGTTCACTTAAGGTCAGTTGGTCATTTGCACTGTACGGTTAGAAGACCCTTAGTTCATTTAAGGTCAATTGGTCATTTGCACTGTACGTTTAGAAGGTTCTTAGTTCATTTAAGGTCAGTTGGTCATTACCACTGAACGTGCAGTATGTCAATAGCACTTGGGAGGTCAGTTGATCATTAGCTATGTAAGATCAGTTGTTTAATAGCACTAGCAAGGTCAGTAGTTCACTCGCACTAGTAAGTACATTATCACTTAACGGATATATAGGTCATTGACATAAATTGTCTACACACTCCCAGATTCACCTAGTCATGCATAAAAAATCCGGGTTCATTGGGGTACTGAAGGTCATGCCCCCTAACAAAATGGCGGAGGCGAGAACTGAACTGAATGTGCTGACCATGGCGAGGGAAAACCCGTTTATAATCCGGCTCATGGACGGCTTCTTGTGTGAAGTTAGTGCAAGTACAAAGTAGTCTATTTATAGTACAGAGTAGTCTATTTATAGAACAGAGTAGTCTATTTATAGTACAGAGTGGTCTATTTATAGTACAGAGTAGTCTATTTATAGTACAGAATAGACTATTTATTGTACAGAGTAGTCTATTTAAGGTACAGAGTAGTCTATTTTAATACAGAGTAGTCTATTTATATTTCAGAGTAGTCTATTTATAGTACTATATTGTTTATTTATATTTATTACAAACGTATATATTAATATATTTTTATGGTGGACATATAGTGTAACCCAGTTCTTTATAATGTACCGTAGTTGATTTATTACTTCACGCTTTTATCTCTCTTCATTATTTATGCCTAAAGCATCGTCCGCGATGTCTTTGTGGAAACGCCCCAACGAAATTTCAACCACTTCTACAGAACCTATTTCATTCAGATTCGACAAATAGGTCATGGGCGTACATTGACAATCGGGGTTTGACCTACTTGTCGAATTCGAATCGAGTTTAACATAATTAGATGTCTATTTGGTTTTTAATGAAAAGACTCCTATTTAAACTGCTGTTACGCTGTTCCACATATAATAGAGATGTTCAATCTGTGCCCAAGTGGTTTTGGTCATTTGATTTTTTTTAATACGTAAAATTTATGGAAAACAGCTTATTTCAACGGACGTAGAGTAAAAAACTTTATAAAATAATTAAAAGTTCTTTTTAAACATTTTGTAATTTACTGACTTGACCTTTTTAAAAGCTATCTAATTATTATGTAGTTTAATAACTTTCCCGTATGTGTAATTATTTAGTAAGTTCCAAACTTGCCCATATTAACTTGTTGTAAGTATTTTGTCAATTCCTAACTTGCACACATTAACTTTTTGTAAGTATTTTGTCATTTCCTAACTTGCACACATTAACATATTGTAAGTATTTCGTTAATTCCTAACTTGCCCATATTAACTTATTGTAATATTTTGTCAATTCTTAACTTGCCCATATTAACTTTTTGTAATATTTTGTCAATTCTTAACTTGCCCATATTAACTTTTTGTAAGTATTTTGTCAATTCCTAACTTGCCCATATTAACTTTTTGTAAGTATTTCGTTAATTCCTAACTTGCCCATATTAACTTTTTGTAAGTATTTTGTTAATTCCTAACTTACCCATATTAACTTTTCTAAATTGTTTCTGTATTTTATTTACTTGCCAAAACATGGAAGAACTACTACCTGTTTCTTGAGTACGCGCCGTTCCGCACTATTGATCACCTCACCCAGGCAGTCCGTGGACTAGGCAGTGACGGATCGAGGTGGGTTTTGTTGTGGGGGGGGGGTCGTGTGGGGATCGGTGGGTTTGTGGGGGGAGCTTGGTTGGTATGTTGGGTGGCCTTGGGGTATCGGTGGGTTTGTTGGAGATCGTAGGGACTAGTGGCTTTGTAGATATCAGCATATTACTAGTTAGCCACCCTCCCCCTCCAATTACAGCAATGTTAATAATGAAAAAAATCGAAACCGTTTTATACTTTTTACATGACAAAAATTCTGGGCAATTTCACATTTCTAATTTGTATGGTAATGATGATCATTTATTTACACAAAAAAATGATCATCGTCACGTAAATTAAAACTAAGATTATAATAATTAAGTATCGGTAAATAATAAAATTATATATATATATATATATATATATATATATATATATATATATATATATATATATATATATATATATATATACTATATGTGTGTATACATATGAATATATGTGTATTATTTGTTTAGACTCTATGCACTAGAGGTGATATGTGCCCTACAGTTTCTTCACGAACGGCGAATCATCCATAGGTGAGTACTCTTTGATCAATACACGCACTATGGCGCCATGATAACATACCCAAACTTTAAACCAGTCCCCATTGTTGAAGTTATATCTCCTGTTGTCACTTCTCTATCTCTTCCTTCCTCCTCTCTCTCTCTCCATCCACAGGGATGTCAAGCCGGAGAACGTACTCATCCTCTTGTCTGGTCACGTGGCGCTCTCTGACCTGGGCTCCTCCATTATGCTCGAGGGTAACACGATATTGAACAGACCATGTGGGACTTACGTCACCCGGCCGCCGGAAGTGGGTGAACTTTGGACGGTCATGCTGTTACATCGAATTATTCTATTTGCAGAATATATATATATATATATATATATATATATATATATATATATATATATATATATATATATATATATATATATATGTATGTATACACATGTGTATAAATATTAATATAAATATATATAATTTGTTTTTAATAAATGTGGAAGAAAGTGCGATTTAAGGAATCATAGAGAATATTTTTTTTTTAAATTATCGATATTAATTTATAAAGTATCTTGATGATGTATCGATACCAAGCTGCCAAAAATATTGACACAGTATCGATATCTCTTTGTCAAACATCTCGATACTACTCAGTTAACAGCCGATGCCACATTTTCTATACATCTCGCGTTTTTTAGCCAGGTACTCTATCATTGTAAATGACATGAACTTATGGATGTTCAATGTTTCTACCCATCAGGTATGGAACAAACAGTCCTACAGTACGCCAGTTGACATATGGGAGCTGGGCATGAGCCTGTTCAACATGATCGCTAATTCGGTAATTGTAAAATAATGCAGTAAAGGGCCATCCATAAATGACGTCAAGCTTTTTTAACGATTTTTAACTCTCCCCTCCGTCACACATCGTCACAAAAAGCCAGACCCCTCCCTAAAAATGACGTCACACCTTAGCCTACAACCCCCCCCCCCCCTCCTCAAAATTGCAGTTCAATTTTTTTTTAAACATCGATATTTTTTTTCAAAATCTTGTCTGAACTCTGTCTACATAAAGTATTTTAATCAATTCCTATTAAAACAGTTTTCTAAAGCGCGAAAAAACTGCTAAAACTCGTTTTATAACATTGCTTTTTTATAATGCAAAAGGGTGACGTCACATCATCTGAACCCCCTCCCCCTCATCACATACAGTCACAAAATACGCCCCCCCCCCTCGTGTGACGTTATTTATGGAAGACCCCTAAAAGTAAAATAATTTTGTTGATTGTACTACTTGATGGTCGGCAAGAACATAGATTACACTTCCCCACCCCCAATGTATCAAGCTGCTAGTTCACGATACCCAACATACTAACCCTACCTTTACAGTGTTTCAATCTTAACTTTATTCCTTAAACTTAACCTCATCAGTGGCCGATCGTGCACCCCAACAAAGAGAAACAGATCGCCTTAGTGACCAACGGAAAAATCGTCTTCACGGAAGTCTTCAAAGAGCAAGCCACTGACATCATTTCCCAGGTCATTGAGTGCTCTGTTGTTGGTTTCAGTTGAATTTTCTTTTTCTTTTTAGTTAATGGATATTTATATATACATGAAGCTTTGAACCGTCAAATCAAGAAAACGGTTATTTATTTTTTGCAAAATTTGAAAAACTTTTTTATGCTATAGATGTTTGAGATATTACAGAGACTAGAAGACGAGTTTTTATGCAGGTATATCGAGGACCCCTAATGAAATTTTTTTAAATTCAAAAAAAATTAAAACAGTCCATTTTCATCTTATTTTGAACTATAAGGCGACATGTCCAATGTTTAACACACCTTTTGTAAATTAGCTGTACAATATTTGCCGATTTACCTATGCATTTTGTAAACAGTAAAACTGATTCCCCCCCCCCCACCCTCCCCTCCCCAGATGCTACAAGTAGACCCCTCTAAAAGACCCACCTGTACGGAGCTACTGCGACACGAATATTTTGAATCTCTAAGAGAGCCGTACGCCCCACCATATACACGTAAGTCTCATTAACCCTCTCACTGCCGTACGCCCCACCATACACACGTAAGTCTCATTAACCCTCTCACTGCCGTACGCCCCACCATACACACGTAAGTCTCATTAACCCTCTCACTGCCGTACGCCCCACCATACACACGTAAGTCTCATTAACCCTCTCACTGCCGTACGCATACACACGTAAGTCTGTGTTAACCCTCTCACTGCCGTACGCCCCACCATACACACGTAAGTCTCATTAACCCTCTCACTGCCGTACGCATACACACGTAAGTCTGTGTTAACCCTCTCACTGCCGTACGCCCCACCATACACACGTAAGTCTCATTAACCCTCTCACTGCCGTACGCCCCACCATACACACGTAAGTCTCATTAACCCTCTCACTGCCGTACGCCCCACCATAAACACGTAAGTCTCATTAACCCTCTCACTGCCGTACGCATACACACGTAAGTCTGTGTTAACCCTCTCACTGCCGTACGCCCCACCATACACACGTAAGTCTCATTAACCCTCTCACTGCCGTACGCCCCACCATACACACGTAAGTCTGTGTTAACCCTCTCACTGCCGTACGCCCCACCTTACACACGTAAGTCTCATTAACCCTCTCACTGCCGTACGCCCCACCTTACACACGTAAGTCTCATTAACCCTCTCACTGCCGTACGCCCCACCATACACACGTAAGTCTCATTAACCCTCTCACTGCCGTACGCCCCACCATACACACGTAAGTCTCATTAACCCTCTCACTGCCGTACGCATACACACGTAAGTCTCATTAACCCTCTCACTGCCGTACGCCACACCATACACACGTAAGTCTCATTAACCCTCTCACTGCCGTACGCCCCACCATACACACGTAAGTCTGTGTTAACCCTCTCACTGCCGTACGCCCCACCATACACACGTAAGTCTCATTAACCCTCTCACTGCCGTACGCCCCACCTTACACACGTAAGTCTCATTAACCCTCTCACTGCCGTACGCCCCACCATACACACGTAAGTCTCATTAACCCTCTCACTGCCGTACGCATACACACGTAAGTCTCATTAACCCTCTCACTGCCGTACGCCCCACCATACACACGTAAGTCTCATTAACCCTCTCACTGCCGTACGCCCCACCATACACACGTAAGTCTCATTAACCCTCTCACTGCCGTACGCCCCACCATACACACGTAAGTCTCATTAACCCTCTCACTGCCGTACGCCCCACCATACACACGTAAGTCTCATTAACCCTCTCACTGCCGTACGCATACACACGTAAGTCTGTGTTAACCCTCTCACTGCCGTACGCCCCACCATACACACGTAAGTCTCATTAACCCTCTCACTGCCGTACGCCCCACCATACACACGTAAGTCTCATTAACCATCTCACTGCCGTACGCCCCACCATAAACACGTAAGTCTCATTAACCCTCTCACTGCCGTACGCATACACACGTAAGTCTGTGTTAACCCTCTCACTGCCGTACGCCCCACCATACACACGTAAGTCTCATTAACCCTCTCACTGCCGTACGCCCCACCATACACACGTAAGTCTGTGTTAACCCTCTCACTGCCGTACGCCCCACCATACACACGTAAGTCTCATTAACCCTCTCACTGCCGTACGCATACACACGTAAGTCTTTGTTAACCCTCTCACTGCCGCACACCCCACCATATACACGTAAAGTCTCATTAACCCTCTCACTGCCGTACGCCCCACCATACACACGTAAGTCTCATTAACCCTCTCACTACTATAAGCCCCACCATACGCTTCTAATTCTATGTTAAACCTCCCGCTCCTAACACCCCACCATACAAGCGCAAGTCTCTGTTAACTCTCTTACTGCTGTGTTGTTTCTTATCTGACCATTCAATATTTGATCATACAAGGTACATAATATTTGAAATGTTCATATAAATTAATTGGATTAAGTCAGCCACATTATAAATGTTTTTAGCATCGATACATAAAATTACGTAAAATACGATCACACATATATCTATATATATAATTCTCTTCTTTGAGACGCTAGAAAACAAGCTGTAAGCGCGCTCCCTACCACCCCCACCCCTACATGGTCTGGTGAGCTGTGGTTCACGCTAAATGTTTTCATTCGTAGAGCAGGGTTTGGAGGCGGCTATTAGGGGCAGATAAGTTAGATCTAAATAGCGGCGTATGATATGCCGCGGGTCGGCTCGTATTATATAATATACGAGCCGACCCGCGGCATATCATACACCGCTATTATGTTGTTTTATTTTCTACTTTTCAGTAATTCATAATTTGTGAATTCGACAGTACCAATGCTGCCACTGAAAATATTTGCTTTAAAACACTATCAGTAGGTCGTTAAGGACGATACTACTCCCACCCTCCTTTCCCCCAACCCCTACCCTACACCCTCCCCCCCCCCCCCCCCCGTGAAAGCAGCCTCCTCTTAGTTACCGCCCCTAAGTTTAAAATCGTTTCAAACTAAATTATCTGCCCCTAATAGCCGTCACTTAACCCGAATGTAAACATTTAGCTTGAACCACAGCTCACCAGACCATGTAGGGGTGGGGTGGTAGGGAGCGCGCTTACAGCTTGTTTTCTAGCGTCTCCAAGAAGAGAATTATATATATACGAGCCGACCCGCGGCATATCATATGCCGCTATTTAGTTGTTTTATTTTCTAATTTTCAGTAATTCATAATTTGTGAATTCGACAGTACCAATGCTGCCACTGAAAATATTGGCTTTAAAACACTATCAGTAGGTCGTTAAGAACGATAATATCCCCACCCTCCTTTCCCCCAACCCCTACCCCCACCCTCCTTTCCCCCAACCCCTACCATACCCCCCCCCTTCCCCGTGAAAGCAGCCTCTTCTTAGTTACCTCCCCTAAGTTTGAAAATCGTTTCAAACTAAATTATCTGCCCCTAATAGCCGTCACTGAACCCGGCTCTACGAATGTAAACATTTAGCGTGAACCACAGCTCACCAGACCATGTAGGGGTGGGATGGTAGGGAGCGCGCTTACAGCTTGTTTTCTAGCGTCTCACAGAAGAGAATTATATATATAGATTTATATATATATATATATATATATATATATATATATATATATATATATATATATATATATATATATATATATATATATATATATATATATATATATATATATATATATGATTGTTGTATATTTTACACATCTATACGATTGTATTGATGTGCTTGTATCCTACAACAGCAAGCCAGCTGTTTTCTATATTTGATTACGGCGACGAAGGCAGGGTCATCCAAGAGCTAATATCTAAAATAGAAAAGAAGAGCAGCTTCTAGTGTGAGTATCTTGGGAGTCTTTAGCCGGTGGCTCAAACCTGTGGTACCTCGTCTTGTCACTGTCTGGCCAAGGATGATGATGCAAGTTTTCAATTAATTATTTCAAATTGTTGATTAGTAAAGTTGTCCTCGCTAAATAAATAACATGAAATCGACCTACAAGGAGTTGTTCACGGGTTGTTTTGCTGTGTAGCTCGACCACTGAGGTGTAATGATGTGCTATAATTCATGTATATGGTACCATGTCAAAACGGCCCGTGACAAAATGACTCAGACAAACCTGCACCACCACTATGGTACACTAATGTATTTTTGTTTGCTAATGCTAGTTTTCCCATTGTGTGTTGTTGACATGTGTATGTAGAAATCTTCCTTGTATGTTCTATATGTGAAGTCATTATGTTACTGTGTACATCTTCAACTGACCACTGGCACTTCAGTGACAGCCCAGAATTTTTTCCATTGACGGTATTATGACAAGACGCATTGGAGCACACTCAGTTATAATGTAATCTCAGCCTCATTTGGAATAAGGTTAACACGAATGGGCTATTTGCCGGTCACAACATCACGTAACACAAATAAGGCTTACCTGCCTTTCTCATTAACTAATTAGCTCTTAAAATAATTAATTATGTTAAACCAAAGTAACTACGAAATTATAAAAACAAACTCGCAATCTGTGTAAAACAATGTCAATATTTTTATCAAACAAAGTATTGCCATACGGAATGGTATTTCTTGAAATGCGATAACTTTTTATAGGATTATTGCCCTTTGTACTAGCGACACTTATAAAATTTCCTGCCATCAATAAATTATAACAAATGTTACTATATACAAATGTCAGTCTAAACAGATGTCAGTGTGTGTAGATGCCAAAATGTATAGATGTCAGTATATACAGTTGACGTCTTCACTCTCCATGATGGGAACCCGATTTTTTTTCTTGGTCGGCGCGAAATTTAAAATATCGGGTTGGCTGGTGTCGTTAGGCACCACTTGGTCCTCGGGCACAAACCCGTCACTGTCCGCACCAGAGTCGTCCCCCTTGTCCTGAACACTCTCCTGACTCTGGTACCCGCCGTTAACGATGCCATTTTTCGCGGAGGCCCCGACTCCATTGGATTGTTTTGTCTTTTTGGCACTGTGGAATTTAATCCCGAGAATTTTTCTTTTTTGTTTCCCGTTAGCGGACTCGCTGGAGACGGACCTTTCAGTTTTTGGCGGTTTCGCGTGTCCGTTTTCGGTAACTGGTCGCGTTGGTACATTACTTCCGGTTTGGTTGGAGTTTTCAGCCGTCGGTGTGATTTGCGCGTTGCGGTTGTTTTCGAAGGCCACGTGGCGCTGCGTTGTTGAGGAAGTCCGGGGCGTGTACTTCAAGGTCATCGAGGACTTCCGGCCCTCGTTGTGAACCACGACCTGGACCTCGTTTGAGTCCGTTACGTCATCCGGTACGAACCCCGCATTGACGTGTCCGTTTTCGGGGCTCTGAGACCCGGAAGGCGCCGGGACTTCTAATTCGAAATCCGAGCTGCGTCTGGAACTGGAGTCGTCGTGTAGCCCCTGAATGGTGGCGCTTAAACGCCGCAAGAAACTTTTCTTCTTGAACCCCGGCGGGGGTTCGTCAGACTCAAGCTCATACGAGTCGGGGACGTCTAAATGATCCACGCTTGGATCACTGTGAAAAACGTCATCGGAAGTGACGTAGTCTTTCTGCCGGTGCATGATGAAATCGTCTTCGAGGTCTTCTAGAATGTCCTCTGGGATGATGTCGAAGCTGGGCACGACAATATCCGAGACGTGCCGAACTTTCTCGACGTATTCAATGGTCGACTGACTGCGCATGGGCAGAGGTCTGTTTGTGTCGCGCCGGGCCGGGCTGGCGTAGGGCATATGCCCGTCAGACAGGGACCGGGGCAGGGCAGGGGCACGGTTGTAGGGCCGCGTGGTCAAGCTGGACATGTCTATGGAGACGGGGCGGGTGTGGTAGAGCTGGGTGGCCTTGCATGCACGCAGGTACTCGGTGCTCATCACCTTGCTCACCTCCAAGGTCAGCCCGTCCTCGTCCCGCCTCCACCCCATCTGCGCCTCCTTGATGACGTCAGCAAGCTCCACGTGATCAAACGAGAGGCGCTCCTGTCAGAAATTGAAAAATGTAACTTCACTATCTGTCAAATTATTTTAAAACTTCAACCTCAGAATTTTTTTAAATTATGATAAAAGTTTTAGCTAATTTTAGCAGATTTAGCAAGCGCAATGAAACATCGACGGATGCAGGATTCTGGAACTTACTTGAATAGACCTGAACGATGAGACGCTGGTCCTCTTGGTGGTAGTGGAGCTGATAGTGTCGCCATCTACAGTCACAGATGGGGGCAAGGAGACGATCGAGTCTCGGGCCTCGAACACCAACTTTTCCCTCATCTGAAATGTCCACAATTTTAAATACACTTTTTTGTTTCAATTTGAACTGGAACGAAGTATTGTGTTCGCAGTTTTAAAGATATTTAACTAAACCTCGCTTAGTTTAAACAAATCAGACGTGTTCATTTACTCAGTGGGCTCACTACACACATTGGTCAGTAGCTACCAACCCACCAAAAACAAACCAACCCGCCAATAACCAACCAACCCGCCAGTAACCAACCAACCCATCACTAAGAAACCAATCCGCCATTGACCAACCAAACAACCCGCCAGTAACCAACCAAACCGCCAACAACCAACCAACCCGCCAACAACCAACCAACCCGCCAATAGCCAATCAACCCCAAGTAATCATCCAACCCATCAGAAACCAACCAACTCATCAGTAACCAACCAACCCCCAGTAATCAGCCAACCCATCAGTAACCAACCAACCCCCCCCCCTAGTAACCACCAACCCTTCAGCAACGAACCAACCACCCAGTAACCACCCCCCCCCCCCCCACCAGTAACCAGCCAACCCATTAGCAACCAACCAACCAATCAACCCCCCCCCCCCAGTAACCAGCCAATCCTTACAACCCACTGACCCTGGTCTTGATCTCCACGATGACGTAGAGGACGAGCCCGAGGGTGGAGCAGATGATGCAGAGGATCAGCTTGGTGGACACACACAGGTACGTGGCGTTGACGAAGGTGATGCAGTAGCCCATGCTGCGCCAGGCGTGGAAGTTGGCGAACGCTGGTTCCTTCTGGGCGGGGAACAGCATGGTGATCAGGGCTGAGAGGGAACAAGAGGGGGAACGATAAGGTGATATGAGCTAAGAGAGAAAATAAGGTGATCAGAGCTAAGGGGTAACTACAAGGTGATTAGAGCTTCAAGGGAACAAGAATGTAATTTGAGCTAAGAGGGAACAAGATGGTGATCAGAGCTAAGTGGGAACAAGAAGGTGATCAGAGCTAAGTGGGAACAAGAAGGTAATCAGAGCTAAGTGGGAACAAGAAGGTGATCAGAGCTGAGTGGGAACAAGAGGGGGAACAATAAGGTGATATGAGCTAAGAGAGAAAATAAGGTGATCAGAGCTAAGGGGTAACTACAAGGTGATTAGAGCTTCAAGGGAACAAGAATGTAATTTGAGCTAAGTGGGAACAAGATGGTGATCAGAGCTGAGTGGGAACAAGAAGGTGATCAGAGCTGAGAAGAAACAAGAAGGTGATCAGAGCTAAGTGGGAACAAGAAGGTAATCAGAGCTGAGTGGGAACAAGAAGGTGATCAGAGCTAAGTGGGAACAAGAAGGTAAACAGAGCTGAGAAGAAACAAGAAGGTAATCAGAGCTGAGTGGGAACAAGAAGGTGATCAGAGCTAAGTGGGAACAAGAAGGTAAACAGAGCTGAGAAGAAACAAGAAGGTAAACAGAGCTGAGAAGAAACAAGAAGGTAAACAGAGCTGAGAAGAAACAAGAAGGTGATCAGAGCTGAGAAGAAACAAGAAGGTGATCAGAGCTGAGAAGGAGCTAGAAGATGATCGGACTTAAGTGAGAACAAAAGGGAGCGGGAAGGTTATCAGAGCTAAGATACGCTACAACAACATGATTATCAAATTAATGAAAGCTATTTATGGACCAGGTAATTATCACGTGACTTACAGTTAGCCTGGGCCAGGAGAATGCTCTCCGCCACTCCCCACACCATGGGGATGACGAAAATGAGAGCCTCATCCTCCTCGTCAGGCGACCAGCGGAAGAGGATGATGAAGAGAACGATGTGGGTGAACATGGAGATGGTCAGCAGAAGGAAGCGGCCGGCGATCCTCGCCAGGCGGGCGAAGAGGAAGACAAAGATGGGGGTCGTCGCCCCGTAGGCGGCCATGACGTAGCCCACCATGTGGATGCCTATGGCGCACGTGACGTAGGCCTGAAACGAGCGGTTTAAAATTTCAATTAATTCAACATTTCTGGGGGTTTCTTGTGCCTGATTTTCTTATATTCTGAGGTTGTAGTAAGTGGTAATACAGGATGTCAAGGCTAAGGCGGATATCGTAAAAACAAAGAGCTTTAAATTTTAAGTGTTTCTAGAATGTGTTTTTATTAAATTTGAACTGGTGTAAAATATTTACTGCAGTACTGCAAATTACACTTTTTAAAATAATATGGAATTTGCAACCAACTAATTAAATATTATTAAAGCTTCCATAAAAATGTTATGGAAAAAGGTGAGTATTTTAAAATGGGCTTGATCTTGGTGAAGGACACCATGCAGAGCGCATGCTCGGCTAAGGGCAACGTACCTTGGTGAAGGTCACCATCAAGTGCGTATGCTCAGCAGAGTTCAACTCACCTTGGTGAAGGTCGCCATTAAGAACGCATGTTCCACTGACGTAAACAGCATGAACGGGACGAGCAGGATCATGTCAGTGGTCAGCAAGACGCTGAAGCAGGAAGTGGTCGTACTGCGGATAGTGACCTTCTGGATCCAGTCGCTCTTGGGCAGGGGCGTCAGCAGGAAGAATACGAGCAGGAGGCCGAACAGGGCGCAGGCCATGAAGAAGCCCAGGGTTATGTCAATCACCCAAGCCTCGGGGTCCTCAATCTGTGGGAGAGTGGGGGTGCCGAAATGCAAACATGTCAGATATAAGAACTGTTCTGATACATGAAAAAACAGATTGGTAAAATACGAGGAAAATACTTTTGGTGTGGTTTGGTTTTTGCACTAAGAAAAAAAAGAGAAAAATTAATAAAGCAAATGAATTGGAAATATTTCTGAAAATTTTAATACACGCTTATATGTGATTGTGTATAACATCAAAACATACCATCTTTATCCAGATCAGCATCATCGAGTCCTATCAAAATGATCAAGCCCTACCGTCACCATAATTATTACTATCATCAAAGAGACCCACAATAAAAAAACAACTACAATCAATTTAGATACCCTACCTTAGAGTCTAAACCTAACATCACCATCTACACCTACCAACATCATCGAAACAAGCTACATTACTTACCATCATAGATACTTATCATTGACATTAAGACTTTTTATTAGATTAGTCATAGCTATTGATATAAACCATCATGGTATAGACCTACCATTTTAATCGAGACCTACCATCATCATCGAGACTTGACATCAGCATCGAGACCTACCATCTTCAGCGAGACCTAACATCACCATCGAGACTTAACACCATCATCAAGCCCTAACTTCACCATCGAGACCTACCATCATACTCTAGACCGAACACCATCAGTGAACAACATCACCTAGACCAACAAACATCATCAAGACCCATTATCATCACCAACATCTTCGCTCACCGCCCGCTAGTGACTTAGCCTCACCTGCGTAGCGTTCTCGTAGTACGGGCAGTCGTCAATGCCGCAGTACTTAAAGAGGAAGACCTCCTCCGACTTGTTGCCCACCCCGTCCCTGATGACGGTGCTGGTCACCAGATTGCCCACAATCTGGGTGGTGGCGAACATGGCGAAGAAAAAACCGTTGAAGCGGCTGAGGATGGAGTAGGGGGAGGCTGAAGAGCTCTTGGAGAAGGAGTAGGCGTTGGCGGATATGTAGAGGGCCTGTTAGATTACAAAGCTAAAATAAGATTACTTCAAAGTAAAGAAAAATAATTCAAGCCAAATTAATATTAATTTAAATCAAATCAAATATAATTAAGGTCAATTTTAAATTTATTCAAATTAATTATAAATTAATTTAAGTTAAATTATTTAAATTACAACAAGTAAATTACATTTAATGTCAATAAAATTCACACTAGGCTAAATACATTTACCCCATTTAAACGCATAACTAACCAAACTGAAGTTACCGCAAACTAACTCGAAAATTTATCTCAACTTTAAAAACAGAACACAACGCCAATTTTTCACTAATCCCAATTTGGGTCTCACATCATTCTATATTTCCTCTAGCCCCCGAGGGGTGGGATGTGTTCAGAGATAGTCATGGCCTAGTAAACTGACATCTAAATCAAGTGTTAAATGGCCAATAAATTATGACACAATGTTTCAATATCCTCTATGATCACCTGTCCTACTATTGGCTAGTAAACCTCAGGATGTTTCCCAATACAAAATAAAACTACAAAAGTAAATCCAACCGATATTTCTTTACCTGAGACGTCCAAGCCGGCCCGTTGAAGGCCCCTAGAGCGATGGCCGCAGGCACCATGGTGGCGAAGGACGGGTAAAAGTTGGCCAAGACGTAAACAGCGTGGGCCAGAAAGTAGGCCACCAGGACGGCCTTGGCCCCGATGAGTCCGATGATGGTGGGGGAGAGGACACTGGAGATGATGGCGGTGAAGTAGAGGATGGAGAGGCAGATGAGACCCAGACTTTCTTCATCGTGCAGTGAGCTGTGGAGATTCTGTTGATGGAAATGTTAACGTAGATGAGAATATATTAGAGGGTAGTGTGGCTAGTAGATTAGGTAAAAGGACAAATAACATATTTTAACATGAACGTTGTAAAGTATAAACATCGAAAACAAAACAACACTCAAACAAAAAAGTTATAAGACACTCTTTAAATAAAATCTGAACATCCACATAAACAATTAAAAACCAAGATTCAAACTAAGAAACTATAAATAAAATAAAACATTACATATGCATAAACACTTGAAACTGAATCTCTGGCACTTACAAGTATTTTCAACCTATTTCAAATAATATTCGAGTGTTTTTAAGCTTGTACTTTAGTAAGATGACTTCAAGATTCTTGGCTCAACTTTCTAGGACAAAGAGTCAAGATGGAAGTGGTTTTAGTTAACCATTGGTGTCTATGACTGTCTCGCATTGGTTAATGTTATTGCAAAGACGATCATCAATCCCTGGGCAGTTAAATATATATATATATATATAACTCTTCAGCTATGAAAATGAAGATATAGTCGCGGATTTATTGACCAGTGTAACATAATGACCCCCCCCCCTTTTCAACAGTCTTTCACAAGAATATTAAGCCCCACCGACCCTAAATATTTTATTTTACTACGCAGACTAAAACGAGAATTTTGATTTAAATCACCCAGAACCACAAAACCGATGAGATCTACTTAACAAACACGAACAACCCAGCACCAATACAAAGATATGATTTACTATACAAACACCAACTAGTATCACATCAAACAATAAACTTCAAACTTGTGCTACAAACCTGCAAGGCATTGAAGGCGGTAAAGACTATCTGGAAGGCAAACGTGATGACGATCGTGTTTTTAATCTCCTTCCCCTCCAGGCTCGACTCCTCCTGGCACTTCCGCCGCACCTCCGCCCACTCGAAGCATCGCATGACGTCAGAGATGCCACGATGCGCGGCACGTTGTGTCGGAGGTACCTTAAGAGAACTTCCGGCTTGACGTCAGCATGTCACGTCTCAAGAATGTTCTGCAACAAGTTAACAGTAGCCTTTGATATATATATATATATATATATATATATATATATATATATATATATATATATATATATATATATATAGCCATCGGTACCCGTTTCACGTGAATTATAGGCCTGTATATTTTAAAATGTTGTACTTGTTTGAGAAAAATAATTTATAAAATAGTTATTGGTCAAAACGCAATGTGCTTTACTACACGCTGAACTATACTACTGACAAAGCAAAGAAATAACTAATTAGCTAAAAATCCGACACATTTAAAATAGCACAGGCACACACTAATGAAGTGACTTAAATGATTCCGTTAAAAAAAATGGCTATTCAATGATATTCTTCCTGTTTTTACAGTGGTTTGTTTTTATTAGGTTTTTATGTATAGATCTATAGATGTAAATGAAATAGTTCATTTCTTCATCGGTATCCATACCATATTAAATGCACTCGCTGATGAAGAGACTGAAAATTAAGAGACTTAAAAGATTTCTTTAAAACCCCGGCTGTTCAATGGTAGTTATGTTGTTTTTGTCTTTTGCAAACACTTATTTCGGCTGAGTATGCGTCTGACCACACCATCTCTTCATATGCTAAAAAGACAGAAACAGGTGAACTCTACTTCACCTGCCCCGTGCCCCGCCAAGTCCCAATAGGCAACTTAATTATCAACATATACAAAAAAAACTTGAATAAAAATTAAGATGGTCTTGGTGTGTCTCGACCCGTACCACCCACATGGTATCAATTACACTCTCATCTCAACTATGTAGGAACCTTATGAAACATGAAGAATAAAAGACCTACTTAAGAAACGTCCGTATCAAGTTCTCCATATTATATCGCTGCAGATATGATGTGATATCTGGCGAAAATATTTTGCGGACAGAGAGAGAGAGAGAAAGAGAGAGAGAGAAGTGCGCACGTGGGCTTTTATATGTTAGTATATATATATATATATATATATATATATATATATATATATATATATATATATATATATATATATATATATATATATATATATAATATACGTATTTATTTGTTTATATATTTATATATGTATACTACTGCATACCCGTGCTCCGCCACGGTGAATCTTTTTTTTAAATTAACTAACTTGGAAACAGAATAAAACTAAACACAAATGCAAACACAAACACAACGCAACCACAAACACAAACACAAAAGAAAACGCAAACACACAAAAATGCAAACTCAAACACAATGCAAACACAAATGTAAACTCAAAAAACACAAACGAAAACATAAACGCAACACGCTAACGCAAACACAAAAGAAAAAAACAAACACAAACACAAAAGAAAACACAAACACAAATGCAAACGCAAACGCAGAAAAAATACAAATGAAAACGCAAACACAAACGCCAACTCTAACGCAAATACAACACCAATAACATTAACAGAACTTAAATGCAAACATTGTGCTCACAGTCTAGCCCGGTACGCCAAATTGCACACTGTCGGGACGCCGGCGGAACCGCCTAATTCAACTTAGTAAATGACTATAATACCCCAACTTAACCATAAAATAAACAAAAGGCAGTATTTAAAATATTCGTATTTTACCTACCATATTGCACTTTATCAATCCATGCTAATTATATTATTCAAATAATAGTGCCTTCATGGACGTCGGCAAAATTTGCTTTCACATTTTTATTAGCTTGATTAGAATTTTTTAAATTATCTCCCCTGGCATAATTATTAAACATTTTAAATAATTACTTTTTTTATACCCAACTGTTTTTAAAATGTAACAATTTTTTCTAGGAATCTAAGCGATAATATTATTTGACAATGATCCGTTTAATATGTTTTAGCAACGTGCGTGTATTTAAAAAAAATTTTAACGTTATGCGAAAAAGTAAAAACTTTGCCAACTATAAAAAAAAATTTAAGTCGCTATATAAATAAACCCTATAACAGTATTTATAATAAGATAATGCTTTGCAAATTTAATGTCGCTGGCATGTGTTGATGTTAACACTCATGGTTCTAGAACAGGGGTCGGCAACAATAAAAGCCAAAAAAATATACAATTTACAAAATTTCCCAGTTTTTAAAGAGCCACTAACATTATTTTTCCAATAATCTGGTATTTGATTAGAATTAGGTAAATAAATTTAATTGTTTATTTGAAAAAAATACCGTTAAATATGAACTAATATTGATTCATAGAAAAACATGTTTCGCACAAAAAAAAGTGTTTTAGCTAGCTCTGCTATTATTAAGTTAGTTATCAAAAAATATAACTATAGGACAATCCCAATCCACTTTAGAAGTCAATAACTTTGTTTTTTTCTTTACGGACACCAGTAGCTAAGGAGGTGTCTCCCATAGCTAAGCAGCCCTCAACTGACGAACTGGCTTAGATATAGGTTTGATAACTGAATCAGTCGCTTCTGTCCTTCGGTTCTCACAGTGCTTATCTTCAACCCTACTTTTCCCAAGTCCAGTACCTGGCTTCAATGGCGTAGCGAGGTCGGGTATAGCGAGGTCGGGTGTCACCCGGTGCGGCACCTAATGGTGTCATACCACCCCCCCCCACCCCCCCCCCCCGTAAGAAAAAATATCATATATATATATATATATATATATATATATATATATATATATATATATATATATATATATATATATATATATATATATATATATATATATATATATATATATATATATATTCCATATACACTTTTAAGTATGTGTATACGCATGTGTATATGTACTCACATTTTTTTTTCTTCTGGATGTATTTCATTTTTTACCTCTCCCCCCCCCCCCCCCACCCCAATACATGAATTAACATATAGGTTATTACCGTTTTTCCTCATGCATATATATTGCAACGTTGAGTTGATGTAACTTCCACCCCTCCCCTCCCTTCCGTCACCCCCCACCCCCGCTCAGATAATACTAACAATTTGTATCTATACTCTGTTATAAATACAGCTGGAAGTTGCATGTTTTTTTTTATCATTAGCAGGTTTACGTCATGGTGGCACCCCCCCTCCACACGTGTAGGGATTTGTCAACTTTGCTCTTAAAAGACTATTTAATTCACTCTAATTAATCATTTAATTAAGTGAAATTATCATTTTTCTGTATATAATTTGCTTTTTTTGCCTCAGTGTCACCCCTCTAAATGGTGTCACCCGGTGCGGTCCGCACCCCCCGCACCCCCGCCCCCCCCCCCCCCCCAACCCCCTCGCTACGCCACTGCCTGACTCCACCGAAGGAAACTAATAACTAAAATACTTCGGTAGAGGGATGCATTCTGAATAAAATAACATTTCCCATTTAATGATATTCGAAAAAATCGGCAGTAGCAAGAATGGAATAGTCGACACTGGGCTGGCTACAGCACGGCTGTGTGGTTGGGTCTAGTGCCACATCGGCTGTCAGCTGTCCATTTACTTTCTACCTCACCTATTCTCACTGTTCTCTGATGAGTTTTTAATCCTGTTTAAAGTTGTTTTTCTTTTCAGTATAATATTTTTATGAGCTTTTAAAATGAAATAATACAATTATTAATCTTTGTGCATGGAACTCGAGTGCCACACCTTGACATAAAAAGAGCCGCATGTGGCTCGCGAGCCGCAGGTTGCCGACCCCTGTTCTAGAATCTATAGCGATGTCTGACGGAAGTGCGAAACAACACCTAGTGGCTTATATTATAGATATTTAGACGTTTAGACATTTAGATATTTAGATATTTACATTACGAGAGAGGGAGAGAAAGATTATACGTTTCCTCTAAACAACACCATGACTCATGCATACAATTTCCAAGTACCAGACTGTTAACAATAACAGTTCAGTTGTGAGACTCTGTTGCCATGACGATGTACAATGGCATTAGTTTATCTTAGCCGGGATGTCATGTCATTTTATTTATCTTATTACAGGAGACTATCTTTGAACGATATATGTTCATACCACTATCGGTTTAGCTTTTGAATTGAAATTTACAAATGCTTGAAAGACATGTTTATAGCACTATTGGTTTAAGCAATTGAATCGAAATTAACAATCGCTAGTAACATTGTCTGCAAATTTGTTTTTTCCCACGTTTTCTTTAACTTGCTTTCGCGTCTGTTTGTTTGTTTTTCCAATCAAATCTTGCGCTCGAAATTTCGGGCACTTCCCAGTTAGCTAGCGCTCTGACATTTTCAGGGAAGCTTTGTTTCCGATGACAATACAATATTCAATTATTATTATTATTATTACTAAATTGATCCATGGAAAACTTTTATTGATCATTTTAGACTTCTATTGATTTGTACCAAAAAAAGGGACATAACCCAGTAATTGTAATTTGATGAAAACAAGGTTCGGTACTTTCCCTCATCAGGCTTACTGAGTAGTGGTCACACGGTGTTTGTGTACAAACCTATGTAAATCTGACTGATCAGGAAGTAGAATGTTGATGGTCGAATGGTTTGCACGCGAGGGCAAAATGGTGAAAGAAACGGCAACACAGAAGAAACGTCGATTGGAAAGGCACGTGTTTTTTACGAGTTGTCTTCGTTTACCCAAAAAAAAGTGAATGTGAGAAGATAAAATCGATAGCAAGATTTGAATGCAAACAAACAGACAAAGACTAAAAAGTAGAAAATAATTATCATTAAAAAAGTTTTTAAAAACCCACGTTTTTTGATTGAACTAAAAAGTAGAAAATAAATGCTATACATCACAATAATGCAAGCGATCACTCTACTATAAGCGATGAAAAACGTGGGGCGCCGTGATTTTCTTACAGTTTCTAATACTGTTGACTCTCTACAAGCTCCCTAATAAAAGTCAATAGTATTATCTAATCAATAGTAATATAACTTTTACATCTTATATTAACAATGACCGATAAAAAACTTTTACTTCGGCGCCCCACGTTTTTCATCGCTTATAGTAGAGTGATTGCTTGCATTATTGTGATGTATAGCATTTATTTTCTACTTTTTAGTACAATC